ATCATCCAAATTAGGTACAAACCCACTTTTAATCATATAATTAGATCATAATATGATTAACCATAGATTAAACAGTGCATTTTAAATTATTTCGATAAATATCTTAATGAATTATTATAAAACGATTTACATTTACTTTTTTATCATTATGATGTTGAAATCGTGACATGGCAAAAAGAAGAAAAACAAATGGTTTTATTCTCTTTTGTAAACTATGGAAGATCAGAAGATGATGTTGCTTGATTTATTTTATCGCTTTAGGTGCCGATTGTTTATTTTATTAATAGGTTAATTGATTAATAACATTACTTAATGCGCTATAAAATGTATGTAATTAGTTTAGTTTCACCTTCGCATATTTTTTTAAGATTAATAAACATGTTTAAAGATTTTATTGATTTTCTTAAATACATTGTACCACTTCTGTCTTATCTTTCTGGTTTTAATAATTGATAGCAGCATTTTATGGATTAGATTAGTTATTTAAAATTATAATTGTGACATATATACAAGGTGAGTTTTCTAGGATGTTCTCTATGGCTATCTCGGAAACTACTTATGATAGAGAGTCGGTTAAATGGAGAAAGAATTGCAGTTTTGTGGGGTCATAAATATGCGCCTTCCAGATTTTTGAAAAAGTTCATGGCTTACTAGATATTTCGAAAAAAAAATTTCGGCTATTTTAAAAATCGTCTCTAATTCCGTTATAATCTATTTTAGAGAAAAAGTTTTCAGATATAAGTTGTAGATAATCACATCCTTAATGTGATTGTGTCCTCCGTTTTTTCCTAAGGCCTATCATTTTTGATATATGACACAAACATATGTTTTTTTAAATGGAAACCATAGTTGACCATAACTTCATCAAAAGCGCCATTTTTTAAGCTTTTCAGCGATATAAGCTATAATATGTTGTTTTCCAAAAATTACTCAGTTATAGCCAATTTTTATCTTTTTTGATTAATTTCACTTAGTTGGCATAGTATTCTTATTCTGTTATGATTTATTACTTATAAAGAGACAGAATATATTATTAAACGGTTCATTACAATTTACATTACACAAACTAATAACGCCATTGTTTTGAGTACCTACATAAATGCATCTTTTTAAAACTGAATTACTAGATATTCTCACAGAACAACCGGTCGACTTTATTAAATTTCTCCCGTACCGTCTCTTCGACTGCCTCTCTTAATTCATAAGTTCTTTTGTAAACCTTGTTGTCAACCATACCGCATAAAAAATCTAAAATGGATAGGTCAGGTGATTAAGGAAGTCCATGCAATTGGTCCACCTTTTCATATCTCTGAGTTTGCATAATTATGATATAAATAATTTTTAACATTTCTTCCCGTACTTTTTCTTGATTTTTGTGAAAGTCAAATGTTAGAGCACTTAGCAAAACATGATACCCAAAATTTTATTCAAATTGGAATGACATAGAAATGACATGAAAAATATCTGAAAAAATGTGTTTATTTTTTTAAAGTTTGATGCCCTCTAGTGGACAAACGAAGCACTTTTGTATAGAGGTAAATTATGTCCAATAAATCAATGAACTTATTTTTATTCCAAAAATGCGTAGTAGTACTTCTATGTCTACGAAATATTGGGACACCCTGTACAGAATATTACGTAAATCGATCAACTTCCGTCCTTGTCAACGAACGTCATATAATTAATAAATTTGCATATCAATATCTAAGCTAAATTTAAACCATTCCGTTCCTAAAATAAATTGTCAAATCACATGTAGTGCCTGGAGGTTAATCTTTGATACAATGAGGAAGTAATGTTACATTATTTCAAACAAAAAAGAAAGGGTGACACAGTAAAAGACGTCAGGTAGTATGTAGTAAAATGCCACACCCTTTAGATGTTTGATCGATGATAGGTTCACCAGTATGTGGTGTCGCAATGGTGATAATTAGTGTGAATTAATTATACTAAAGTAGTTTAATTGCACGCTAATGAAGCGCGACAACAAAAATTAAATATTATTTACATTAATTGTATCATTTAAAGTAAACGCAAATGATTCCGATTTTACAGTTAATATACTACTTACATACATACGCAATAAAATATTTTATTGTATATATTATGAACTACAATAAAATAATTGGTCATATTTTTATGAGAACTAAAAATTGGGAGTATATTTCTGTATCTTCTTGTGAGCGAATATATTCAATAAAAACAAAGCTATTGAGATGAACCAAAAAACAAACTCTCGAGAAAAGATGCATATTGAAGATTAACATTCCTGACTTATTTGTTAAACCATTCCAGAAAAGTGTTTTCCAAAGTTTGATTCCAAAAAAAATTTCGCTAAAATTTCTTTTTAATAACTTTTTTTCCTTCGTGAAAATTGTAAGGTATCCGTTTTTAGTGCCAAAAATTATCATCGAATGTCATTCTCCAGCCCCATTTGACGCCTTTTTTTTCTATCGTATGGTATTATTGCAGTATTTCTAGAGAACAACTTAAAAATATTAATTAATTTTTTAATTACTTAAAAATATTAATTTATTATATATTAAGTAAATAGTAAATTATAGTTAGCTTTTAAAAAACAGCTTCAATCACAAATTTTGACAAAAAGTAGGGTATTTTTTTAAAACATCTATTCATTGTTCTGATTATTTTTATTTCGCACAGGGAATGTGTGAATATATTCATGTATATATGCATACCGTAGTGCTTTGAACTCTCCCGGTTATGAGTAAGTAAAAGTTGATGTTATCGGCATCTGAAAAAATGCTGAACAGAAACAGTACCATAATAATGGAGTATAATCACCGCAAAAATAGTTCACCACAATAAACCAAAACATTTTATGGTTGATTGAATAAATAAGAAGATGCGCAGCCTTATGGGTTTGAAATTAAAAAAAAAAAAAATACCGAGCTGTGGTCACTTTACAAGAAGTGACTGAAAACAGTTGAATACGTCAACCAATGTAGTGCAGGTGCGTTTTGCTAATTTTATGTTAGCATCATTAGCAGAAAATTACAATATTTTCTAGTAGATGATTAAAATCAATTTTAATAATCTGCTAATAATGCTCACATGGTTAGCGAAACGTACGTTCAGATTTTAAAGTAAGTTGTTTTGGTGTATTGTGTTAATCTAGTATTTTATTTTGTGATACACAAGTTCACCCAAAATTGTACATGAATCGGATCACAATTATAATTATAGAATAGACTCAATAGTGATACAACTGATACAGTTACTTACTGTGGACTTTATTTATAATATAATACGTTCAAAATTATTAAGATATACGTTGTCAGACATACTTTGGACATACTAAATCGTATGATATACAGGGTTCGGCAATAGCGCGTCGGACATCCGTAGCTCCTATAATAAAAGAATTTTGTTGAAGTACAAACCTAAAGTATGTATTAGGATGTATTTCCAGAAAATATTTTAACTTCTACGGGATGGCTCAAAAAAGTGTGAGTTGATTGGGATTATTTTTTTTAAATGGAACACCCTGTATATTATTGCATTTTTTGCGCCCTGTCTGATCACTTTACATAATCGAAAGATATTATTAAATATGTTTTAATAGTTTCAGAAATACTAATAAATAGATAAAAAAATATTTTTTTCAGTCTTCCTAAAGAAATTATTAAAAATACAAGGAATGCTCTGAAATCAAAACTATACTAGGTATTTACTATAGTTAGCCTGTACTTATTTTAATAATCTTTAACCATACAGGGTGTTCAAAATTCTATAGGAAATTTTCTAAAATATGATTTTTTTTTAAATGGATCACCCACTATATTATTTCTTTGTTAGAGCAAGAATTAAAAAAATAATATTTTTCGTATTTAAAGTGTTCTAATATTTTAGCGGTTGTGCAAATATTCGCTTTATTATTACATATGGCTCTTTTAACGGTAAAATATCAGTTAAAAATCATCCTAGCTTTGATAAAAATTTAATGTTGAAAACCCCACATGTAATATATTACGAATATCCAAAAGCAAAACAGTTAAAAACTTTGAAATACTTTAAATACAAAAAATGTTTATTTTCTAATTCTCCATCTAACAAAGGAATAATATACAGTGTGTTGCATTAAAAAAAAACGAAGAAAAACTAAGAAGAACTACTTAATGTTTTAGAAAGTTTAGCATAGAATTTTGAACACCCTATATGATATAAGATTACGATATTTATAGCAAAGTAAGTACAGACCAACTATACTAAATTCCTAGTATAGTTTTGATTTTAGGACATTCCTTGTATTTTAACAATTTTTCTAAAAAAAAAACGCATTGATGCTGATGCTATTTGTTAATTTATTAATTAATATTTCGGAAACTATCAAACCATACTTAATAATATGATAGGGTAATGTAAAATGATCATAAAGGAAGCTAAAAATGCAATAAAATACAGGGTGTTCCATTTAAAAAAAATCATCGGGATCCACTCCGAGTTTTTTAAAATATTTTCCTCAAATACATTCTAATACATACTTTATGTCTGGACTACAAAATTCATAAGTTTTTTATTATAGGAGCTGCAGATGCCCGACGCACTATTGCTGAACCATGTATGTAAAAATTAATAAAATATTATTTTATCGGAAAATCATTTTGTATAAAAGGAAATGAATAATTTTGTTTTATTTTGAATTTGTTAGTGAGCTGAATTTTTCCTCAAAGATAAATAGGTGCTTTAATTTATGCTCTTCATGAAAAATAATTTTATATAAATTGTGAGAATAACTAATAAACAATAATTAAATCTGCGCTGCAAAAGTTGTTTTTCTATGTGTTACATTTTCCTTAATATAAATATATACTTAATCTTCCTTACGCACTTCTGTACACAAATCACTTCACATTAATTTCTACAAAAACAGCTTACGTACAAAACCACCCTGTATACCATGCACTACGCACTATGAACCATCCGCATCATAATTACTATGGATGCGAGTACGCTATTTAAAAAACGTTTCGACTCACCGCCTTCATCATCGGAGAACGATGTTGAAATACCAGCTGACAACTGTTCTTTTTGGTACTGATTTATCTTATATACCTTCCGCAGGTGTCAGACGTTCTATCGATTTAATCCGGGCATTTTTTCCCGGTACCATGATGCTATAGATCCCCGGCATCGATAAGGGGGTCTGGGCAAATTAGTTCGCCATGATATTTATCAATGAACTGTCGGTACTACCGACTGGCGCGATTTTGATCCGGTTTCGATTGTTTATTAATATATTGGTATTTTTGCGGTTTCGTACTACTGCAGTTCTGTAAATTACACTTTTAATGTGAGTCATTTTATTTATGTTCAGGTGCATTTTATGTAATTATTTTACATTTTTTTAAAAAACATTTAAATATTTTTAAACATACAGGGTGGCGAACCTCATTCGCGTCGGTTGATTATACGAAAACGGAAAGATGTAGAAAAAAAATGTTTTATGGCAATATGTGGGGAAGCAATAAGCTCAATTTAAAATTATTTTGAAATATGCAGGGTGTTTCAGAACTAAGATTCATACCAAAGTTATATTTGTTTTATAGAACACGCGGTATTTTATTTCATTTTTGGATTCTTGGGTACAAAAAAGGCATATATTATTAAGGTTAAATGTAAATCCTTGGTTGTTAAAATATTTATTTAATTAAGAAATATTTAAAGATATTTAAGTATGCATGCTTTAATGAATAGATTATTCACACCCTGTACAGGGTGGGTCAAATTCGACGCTTTTAAATGGAAACACCCATTTCTATAGGAGATAGATGAAAACTAATATCGGTGTCTGGAGCTCAATTTTCAAATAAAAAATCAATTTGTCTGTTGATAACTCTTAAATTATTAATTTAAAAAAATATATACTTAAACCATTAAATTCTACGGAAAAAGGTGCTTTGGAAATGTTTTCATAGAAATACAAAATTGATGATCTATTTTAAGGATTTATTTTATATAAAAACTTCGATATTTCAAATGAAACACCCTGTATTGTTTGTGATTAAAATGGACCAGCAATTTTTGACACCCCTGTATACATTAAAGTAAGCAATCAAATTTTTCAGTAATATTTATTTCTTTGGCTTAAAAGTCAGCGCAAGAATTAATTCTGAAAAGCAATGTACAGGGTGTTTGTAATGTAATGTAATGTAATTGTAATTTTTTGAACAATTCTTTGGATTTTTTTTAAATTTTTAGTTAAAAAACATAATTTTTTGATAATTTACAAGAATGAAAACCCAGAAAAAGATCGATTCTCAAAATTTAAGCAAAAAGCATTTTTTTAATTTTCAAAGTAAAATAACTCGGTTACTTTAGGCTTATTTGAACAATGGTAAAGAGAAAATATGTTACTTTTATCGAGATCGACCAGGACAGAAAATATTTGCATTTATTTCAGACTTACCCTGTATAATCATATTATATTATGAACAAAGTAGGCCCCGTCATTATTAGCCCTGGCAGCAAAAAATAAAACGTTAACTTAAAATACTTTATATAAGATTGAGTTTTTTTTGTCTGTTTTAAAAAGACAATTATTTTTACATAAAACTCGTTTTTTTACTAAATATATTTACAATTTATTAAACTATAAAACAGTTAATTTAAATATTTGGATTGCGATATTGGCAGTGAGATTTTCGTATATTACAGTTTAAACAAAACTTTCTTTAGCTATTTATAACTCCCTTTTAGCCCAAACCACCTCCAGCTAAAGATGCCAAAGCTGCCGATGGAATTCCCAATTTCTTCTTAGTACCAGCTCCGTGTAAGTGCTCTCCAGTGGGATGGAAACCATCTTCGTCAGCGGTGTAGTGTACCTTGTATTCTTTTCCATCATCACCAACGTAGGAGTATTGACCTTCGACAACTTGGGCTTCCTTTTCGGTGTCTGGATTTTTCAGCTCGCCGATTTCAGCAGCGTGGATATTGTTGCTGGTGTCGTAGCTGTAAAGATATCGTTAACTTTTATATCACTTAAAATTTCTGTTTTTTTAACGTAATCTTTCAGGTTACCACTATAACGAGTGTTTTTCAAAAGTGGTTCTTACCTATAACTTTTTTATTTTTTTAGATCACAAACAAGTTTTGGAATGTTAGTATAGGATAAAGTTAGAATTCACTGACGTTTTCAATTACTTTTGGTCACTTCCTGTTTTACCGGAAATGCTTATAAATTTTGATTTTTAAATAGTACCGTCGGCATTTTTTACTTTATCTATTAGGAAATTATATTCTGAATAGAATTATATAATCACATGTCAACTTTTGAAATTATTTCTTAAAAAAATGCATTTTAAATTTAAATCTGTGTGTGTATCACGACAATAAATATAACGACAATTTATCATGGCATTTACATGTTGAAAATGAATTTGCAGCATAAAAGTCGCTTTCATAATTTTCTATATACCGGGTGCGTCTCGAAAGTGGCTCACCCCCTATATCTTTTTTATTTTTTCAGATAAAAAAACGAGATTTGGTATGTTAGTATATGACATGAATTAGGATTGATTGACGCATTCAATTGTTTTCGGTCACTTCCGGTTTATCCGGAAATGACTACAACTTTTGATTTTTAAATGGCACCATCGGTATTTTTTTTACTTTATTCGATAGAAAATGACACTCTGAATAGAATTACATATCATATGTCAACTTTTGACATTTTCGCATATGGTTTATATGAAATTATAACATACGGTTCATAACGACAATTTGACTTGAAATACCAAGTGCGCGGTATCAAATTATTCGAAAAAAAAATGCTTTTTCCAAATATGTTAATGAGCCACCCTCGTTCCATTTGAAAAAAATGAGATATTATTAAAATTACGATATGATCATCTTTCAACCGGCCAGGACAAGACACTAAAAACATTAGACGATCAAATCTATTTTTCCAAGGCTCCTTGATTAAAAATTAGTGCTTTTAACACAGCCATGGTACTCTAGATTGAAATTTAAAATACGATTTGTTTTTGAGCAAATATGCCAAAAGTTGACATATGATATGTCATTCGATTCAGAAAGTCATTTTCTATCGAATAAAGTAAGAAAAATACGGAGGGTGCCATTTAAAAATCAAAAGTTGTAGTCATTTCCGGTGAAACAGGAAGTGACCGATAACAACTGAAAACGTCAATCAATCCTAATTTATGTCATATACTAACATACCAAATCTCGTTTTTTAGCTGAAAAAATAAAAAAGTTATTAGGGTGAGCCAGTTTTGAGACGCACCCGGTATATATATAGCACAATTATAATAAAATTATATAAGGATTCTTGCCACTTAACTGCTTATATAGAAATTTAATTCTACGCTGTGTTTGTCATAATGTGGATCAACCTGCTCTCACTACCGGTTTCGGAGCCCTACTCCATCATCAGGTGAGGTTGGACAAATCCACAAAATGACAACCACAGCGCAGAGATAGTTAATTCCGACTTGTCGAAAAGTGTCGGTTAGATATTAAGTCCCGAACGGGAGATAGCGGCCTGCGTGCAATGGTTATGACAAACACAGCGTAGAATTAAATTTCTATATAAGAATAGACATTTTATTCACAATTTGAACAAAACAACTAAAACACTATTTTTGGTTCACCCTATGCGTCGGGCCGAAAACAAAACTAAAATAAACATGGAACGCTATGTACACGTCGAGCAACGGATGTAGACTGACCCAAGTCTACAAAACAGGCGGGGAGCGGCGGGAGAAATTTTGATACGGGCGAAGAGTGGGTCAACTGATATATATCATATTCTATAAACTTTGGTATAATGCAGTTGCATAATTGCACAATGTAATAATATTTTTATTACTTATTAGTAGAACCTAATAGAGGCAAACAATAAGCAAAGCCGCTTGTTTACATTTCAATACCACTGCTGTAGTCTATGAAGTCTAATCATGTAATCATAGTTTAACATTTTAGTTACAATTTCTTTATTTTTCGTTTATTAATAAGAAGAGAATGTTGCAGTTTTTCCAAGCTTTTTCATGCATCAGACTAGAAGAAAATCCACAAAATAAAAGAGTTATTTTTGGTAAACACGACTGCATTGATCTAACGGAGACCAATTTATCAGTGGAATTTTACTAGTAAAACCATAGAGTAAAACAAAGTTTTCTAACCGATATAAAATGCTTAATGTTTCAGGAGGTATATCTCCTCCAGTCGTCAGAAACAAAAAAACACAAAGAACAAAGAAAAAACCTTTAAAATGTCTAAATACCACTATTAAAGAACACTTTAGTTTTTTAGGGGATTCGTCTATTATAAATTGTTGATCGTTAAATAATTTATAATTAAAAGAAGTAGGAGAGAATTTTTTCTGCATCTTTGGAGTACACAAACCACAAGATCCTCAAGAATTATTAAAAAGGGAAATAAAGCCAATTGCAATCAAAATGGGACACCTTGTATGTCAAAGATTTTTTTTATATGTTAAAGATATTTTTATATGTTAAAGATTTTTAAAAATTCGAGTTAATAATACAGTAATTCTTTGAATTATTATTAAACTAAACTTACAAGAAGAAATCATTAATGATTAAGTATCGTATGATCGAAAAAAAAAACGGCGTTCAGTTGGCTTAGGAAGTATAGTAACATTCAGCAAAAAAAAATACTTACGCATAGCGGTATCCTGAAGGAAATTCTATATCAGCAAAACTTCTTAATACGGAGGCCTGTCTATCCAACTCACGTAGCTGATTTGCAGCCTTTTGAAGAAATTGTGGCCTGGCATTGGATAGTCCTATAAGGACTAATAACGTGAAACAAAGTACCTGTAAAAAGTAAGCAACCTGAAACTACTTGTCTACAATTTCACAAAAAATAATATTTTAAATTCCAATTTAGAGTGTCTAGCTGTGTTTATAACTACAATTTTACTCAAAACACACACACACCAAGTATTGTTACCAAATTATTCTTAATAGAATGCTCAAATGAGCCATTCTCGTTCCAGTTGAAAAAAGTGAATTATGATTAAAAATACGATTTGGGCCTGTTTTACCCGGCTAGGAAAACTTACGTGAAACATTAAACAATCAAACCTAGTTTTCAAAGGCCCCTTGATTAAAAATTAGTAGTTTTAACACAATCATGAGACTCTAGATTGATATTTAAAATAGCATTTTTAAGCAATAGGGTACACTTTCAAAATCAAATATTGAAATATTTAAGTTTTAATCACATCCTGTTCTACATAGTTATAAGTAAAACTATTATTAAATGTTTATTTTACCAAAAAAAAAATCTGATATAAAGCTTTTTCCAGAAATCTGATGACATCCCGTGTATAAGAACAGACAATTTTTAAAATTCTTTTCATAGTAAAGAATTAAAAGTTTATTCTATCACATTGTATTATATTCAAGGTAGTGAATATTGCTTATGCCTTAGAAAATAGAAAAATATAAATATATTTACTTGCTTACTCTTACTACCCAATTTATTTTACTAAATAATTTTTTTTTTGAAAAACTACATTAATCCACTACAATGAAAGGCACTTATTTAAAAAAAAATCTTGAAGAACATGATTAAGGTTTATTATACTTAAACCTTATCGTTTTTGAAATATTTTCAATTTTGTGAAATTGCAGTAAAAATTTTAAAGCTTCATTTCTCCAAGGGTATCAATGTTTTTAATACTAAATATTTAATGAAGTTTATTTATTGATCAGTTATTGTGTTGCAATAATAAAAATAATACTACCTTATACAGAGTGTCTAAAAATTTATTTAAAATAATTATTAGATTCAAACGGCAATAACTTCTTTAATTTAAATGGAATGCCCTGTATATTTTAGGAGAATCAGATGCACAATTAAATTGTCTATGAAATTATATTATACCATTTTTTATCTATTCCTTCAAGTTTTCGTAGAAAATGCATTTTCTTATAATTTAGACCTCATTTATCAATATATCCATGGAATATTGACATTTTAGATTGTTTTTAAAGCAACAAATGTACAAAATGTACAGACTAGTAATATTATCGTTTTTAGCAAAACGAATTATATCGACAATATTAGTATCTGTACTCTTTAAAAATTTGGTACATCTTTAAAAATAATCTAAAATGTCAATAGTCCATGGGTATATTGATAAATAAGTTCTAAATTACAAGAAAATGCATTTTCTACGGAAACTTAAAGAGATAGGTAAAAAATGGTAAAATATAATTTGATAAACAATTAAATCCATCATAAACAATAAAACCATCAACAGTAGCTAGGGAGGTTGACGTTTCTATTTTTTTTTGCTGTAGCACAAAATATTCCTCAACTTAAAATGTAGATATATTTTTAGATAAGCAAGTGTTAATAAGAAATTTAAAACTAATTTATTAATTGTGAAACTAATTCAAAATCGATAATTTTTACAAACCCACATGTTGAAAAAATATATTCACTGATTTTTTAATACATACAGATTGATAATTAACTAATTAAAACTATAATTATAACCGCTTTTTTGACTGTAACAACTTAAGGTGTAAGGTTTCTGTAATCCCAAATCCGCTACCGACGATTATATCACACACTGAACACCGCACACGAATTTAACGATCTAAAAACTCACCGCCTTCATTGGAGATGTTGAAAGAACCACTGGCAGATTATCCTCGGTTACCTTAAAATATATATATACAATCATGTTCACCTTTACATAATTATATGCAGTTCGTTTAGTCGTCTTCATATTATGTATGATAACGGGTTTAATCGAAAAAGCGTGGCTAGAGATTCCGAATAACCTATACTCCTACAATGTCAATAAGATTTTAGATGAATGATCTAGTAATTTGGGGCGGTCGCACAGTGCTTCGAACATATGGCTCTAGAGGACAAAAATGCAAAACTTCTCTTTTATAGTAGGCAATTTATTCAAACTAGGTTTATTTGACACAAATGATGATTACTCTCATTGTACTAAATGATGATGTTCTTAGTCCCACGTTTATGAAAAAAATCTTATAAATAATAAAAATGTTGGAGCTGTGTTCCATCTAAGGAAATAATAATTTATAGTATGAAAACGGTGTAAGTATTAAATAAATCCCTGTGATAAAAAAGAATTGAAATAACATTAGAACATGATTCCTACAGTATAAGCCTAATATAAGATAAAAATGTTTTTCTTTAATGAAAAAGAAACATTAATGTTATATTTAATTAAAAAAAACTTAAGATACTATAAATTTACTTTAGGACAACAAAATGCATAGATCGTAACTACTCTGATTCAGAAGAATCACTGCTGACAGAATCTTCCAAATTTATAGTATCCAAATCACAGGTAGATGAAGTATCCTCATATATAAGATATTTCTGTACATCATTTTCTAATAAGTTAATTTTTCGCGTTGTTACTGTTCTTCTTGCTGGTATGAGGGGTTCGGATATTAATAGTTACCTCTTTAATAGACCACATCCATGTGTTATTTTTTCCTTTTCTTGGGTATGAGGTTTTATAATAAATTGAAAGTTGGAAAATTTTTAAGCGACGTTTCGCTCCAACATAGTGGGCTTTTTCAGGCACAAGTGGTGTCTCATTTGACTGGAAGGTTCATCAATATCCAATAAAGAACACATTTTTTGAAATACAAATAATTTTGAGTTCTTGTCCTTATGATCAAGCCAAGTATTAACCAGATCGGCATTGCTTATCAATTTTACTCCATCTGAAAAGTATTATAAAATAAAGTTCGTCGCAAGCAGACGCAGGTGAACTATACAAAAATTAAAAGTGTATGAATATGAAAACACATATATTCAATAAATACGATATGTTTTGATATGTTTTTTTTAAATGCCTTTTTGTAGTTTGAAAACGTAAAATTTTTATACCCACTTAAGAATCATCTTAAAAAATAAATAAAAACTAAACAATCACGAACTTGTTTAGAAATAAATTTAAAGCACATACCTTGTTTAACAATATCCATAGTGGCTTTCAATTAAGTACGTACCGTTTAACTCCATAATATACAGAACTACTATGAATGTTATTCTTTTCACTGATAAGATAATGATCGCAAAATTTATTTTTAGTGAAAATATTTGCTAACAAAAAACGCTGTTTATGAAAAATAATATACAGGATGGTTGAACATTGCTATAAGTATAAAATTATATATTCAGATATTAGTAAATTTTAACTTTTTTTCGATTTTTGTCCATGGGACGAAGCACTGTGGGTCGGTGCGGTAGAAATCTTTAAAAATTTCAGTTAATTCTGGTTAATTACACTTCCTCAAATGACAAGGAACAGTTTTGATGAGATATCACGCGACACTTATATACACCCCACATATACATATTCATCAAAATATACGGGGCAGTCCATTTAAAAAATTGAAGTGTCACGTGATATCTTTTTTTGGGTCAACCTGTATAATAGCAAATTAGTTTAAAAATCGCGCCACTAAAAACTAAGATTGACGTGTCCGAGCGTTTTTCAAAAAAAAAACAGTTGAATTTTAAATGAATTTATCCGTTACTTTACGGACACACGTATATTTTGCTTAATGATTTTTATAGTATTTTACAACGATTCAAGGAGGATTTTGACAGAGGTCGAAAAAACATCATATTTTTTACTAAAAAATGTTTTTAATTAATTTAAGTTAACTATGGATGGGTTTATATACAAATCTGCCATGCGCAATATTTTGTTGTTTTTAGGCACTTTTATTGGTTTGATTTTGTTTTGATCGCTTTTATTGATATATTATGCTCTATAAATGTATTTTAGTGAAAATTAGCCATATATCCAACCTCAAAATTAACCATGTATATGTTACGGTTAATGTCGACATTAACAGGTTAATGTTTGGGTTTGATTTTGTTTTTGGTTGTTTTGTTGTGTGTTATTCTCGAGATTAACCGGGTAATGTCGATATTAACCGAATATCAGACCTTAACCGTAACATATACAGAAAATAATGGTAGGTATGCTGGTATCATCACAAAATAACACGTCTTAAATCTTAAATAAAGTAGTAGCTAGTTAGCTACTATTTTGTAATAAAGTAGCAATAAAATTACTGATTAAAAATATATTCTTAAAAATATAAACTAACTAAAAAAATTATATAAAAGGATTTCTCCCAACTATTACATTAAAATCTAAAATGAAACAATAATACTTACAAGATGGAATTTACATTATTGTGAAAGACTGAAGTGTTTTAAACTCTTTAATATGTAAATACAATCGTTTAAATCAAAATTAACATAGAATTACATCTATCTACGAGGGCTAATCGAATATAAACCATTTTCGTTTTTTTTCTCGTTGCAAAGAACAGAATAGTGCATGATATCTTGGTATAAAATCAAAATGAATATAAAAGGGTGTATTTTGTAACAAAGGTGTAAAACTCAATCAAGCAGAGTCAAACATAATTATGAGTTTGTCAGGGTTGATTATCGTCTCTTTGAAATATATTAGTACCTAAAAAATGGCCTTGCTTAGGCAGATAAGCTACAATTGAAAAAGATGCAAAGATGCAAAAATAAGACGATAAAATCGCCGATGAGCAGCAGACATTTTTAGAACTAATCGTACTTGAAAGGTTTTTTTAATTCTCTTTAAGTTTTCATTTAAGATATTCAGTTGTCAATCGTGTCTTTTGGATGGATGTATTTCATTAATGGTAAAACTAAAATAGAATTAATCTTCTCCTTTCGATTTTCATATTCATGGGAACAGTATACTGTTTTATTAGAAGTAAAAATGATACTCTTTGTGGCGAGGCTGTACGTCTGATGGACGATATTACGGGCGAAGCTCAAAAAGTCATTTTTACTCTAATACACGCTATTTTTTTCAAAGGTCACAAATAATTTTTAAGCAATTTCTCAAACGTTGCAAATAATATAAAAAGATGTAAAAGTAATACTTTGTAAGGTAATTATACAGGGTGAGTCTTAAATAAGTGCAAATATTTTCATGGCTCGACAAAAGAAACAGATTTTCTCTTTACTGTTTTTCAAATAAGTCCAAAATAACCGAGTTATTCAAGTTTGAAAATTTAAAAACTGTTGAACAGGCCAAAACATTTAAAAACGCTGAACAGGCCATTCTAAAACTTTTTTTAAAATATACAGGAACATTTAAAAGCAAATGAACGATTTTTACCATCTGTTTTTTTTTTGCGAAAAAACCTCAACGATAAAAGTGCTTTACTTTTATATCTATAAGTGTTAAAATTATTTTTTTCTTTTGTTAATTACGTCGCGAAAATTAATATTTTTGTAATGTTTGGAGACAAATATTATGTTAAATGGAGTAAAAGAAAAGATAATAAATAAGTTTGAACCGCCCCATAAAAATTGCTGAAAAATTTTAAATTGAATAAGAAGGAAACAAACATAGCACGTTAGATGAAGAATGTTTTCCTAATTCCTCCTCTCTGCTAAAAATTATATTATTGTATAGGTATACAGATGGAGATATTAGAAATGCCATTTGTAAATAAATTTATTAAATAAAAATTCTGTTGTGCTATATTTGACCGTCCCTCGTACTTCGAATAAATTATACCAATACATCAAACTTTCTTAATTTAAATTACAGTTTTATAAATTTAAATAAATATACAGACTTAAAATATACAGACAAGAAAATAAGGAAATGTTAGACTTCGGGACTAATATCTGCAGGGGACAATCTGTAAAGAAATTGGATGTGCTTTCAACATATTACAATTTAGAAATATTTTGGTAATATTTTGCAAAATTATATAGATATAACTTAAAATAGATTTTGTTAAGGCGTCAAAAAATTGGTTTGGTCATAATATTATTAGCACAAATAAAAACAGGAAAATTGGCTAAACATCCACCCTAACAATAAATAACATCAATTTCAATAACATCAATTCTAACAATAAATACTATACTTATCATTAAATTTATCGCTACTTTGTTACTAGCTAGTAGCCAACTACCTACTACTTTATTTGATACTTGATATTTTGTTAAGATAGGATGATCATAAGTAATTGGCACTAAGACTTGTTAGAGAATGTATGCTTTATTTGGAAATAATAGAGCATAATAAAATTAATTTTATTATGCTATAAATCTTTTTTGAGAATATTTTTTTATACAAGAATTTTGAGAATTTTAAATTTTAAATACATGCTCTATACATGTATTTTAGTTAAAACCCTCAAAATATTTGAAACAACAAGTGACAAGCAGTGTAATTTTTTTACATTAATGTTACTTAATGCAAATCTGAAAATATTTATATTTTTTATAAAAGATTATTATACATATTTATATTATTTATATACAGGGTGGTCCGAACTTTATGCGGGAAACTTCGGCAGCATATTCTGCAGATAAAAATTAGTAAGTAATTATTTCGGGATTTTCCAAATAATATCTGATCTAGTCTAAATTGGGATGCAAATTTGTGTGTGGGAGTTTTTTGACGTGTATGCTTTTATTTTTTATTTCACTGTCAATATGACTTCTACTCGTAAGGAGGCGCCACCTATGTGTTTGTTATCTGTTTTGAGGAGTAATAACTTTTCGTCCGTACCTGTATAAAATTACTGAGTGTAAAAACATACATTTCCGCCATTACTTAAAAAGTCTCTTGGTAAAAATCGTTACAAGTAATGGTTTATAAAATATTTG